TATGTTCATTCATATATATATATATATATGTGCATGTATGTATATATGTATGCATGTCATGTGTGTTATGTTATGTTATGTTATGTTTTATAATGTTATGTTATGTTATGTTATGTTATGTTATGGTACATTATCTATGTATGTATGTGTATACACATTTGTATATATGTATATGTATATGCTTGTTATTTGTTCATTCATTTGTTTACTTATCTTTGTTGAATTTTTTGTTCAAGTACTTACTTATTTATATCATATCACTTGTTTACTCATTTACTTCCTTATTCTTCTTGTATTTATTCCTGTATATACATCTTTGTTTTATCTATGATACAGATACATATATGCCGGCATCGAGAGTCACGGCATGCATTCGGCTGCCTTCAAAATTGCCAAAAAATAAAATCAACACTTACTGACTTACTACTGATGTGCTCCAAGGATCCCTCGTCGAAGATAAGTGTGTGAGCACCTTCGTAACAAGCCTTCATGTTTGCGAAACTACAAAAGACCCGATAAACTCCGTTGGAGTAGGGATAGCTGCGGCAGGCACAGGCTGTCAGGACCGTCAGCCCGAAAGTGCAGACAGCGAGTGACAACAGCAGCCTCCACCGTCTAGAGAGCTTGCATTTCGCGGAACGATTGCAAAGATCTCAGGGCTGTGGCCCCGGCCTGATAGCCGCCGTTCCCTGTTCTTGGGAGTCCGCGGATGGCGTCAACTTGCACCCAGTAGCCCATCTTAGCCGCGAAAGATGCATCAACTCAGCATCTCGCTGGCACATCGATGCAAAAGCATATACGATGTACTACGAACTAGGGCTGTCTTACCCCAGAGGTGGCAACGATTCCTTTCACCGTCGCATACTTCATGTCGTCTTGCTTTCCAATCTAGCCAAATACATGCTTTCTACCGAAGGAAGAGAGCATCCGAGTCTATTATATACTATATATGTAACATATGATATATATTATATATTCTATATTACATATGATATATTATGTATTATATATGTTATACATGACAGCCGAAGCTCCGGCCTGGGGCGCCTGGGTCCGCCCCTTTTCATTGCCAGCGACAGCGGGAGCAGACTCCTCGCCTGGCAGAGTGGATGCAGCATCCTGTCCCTAATATCCCCCCTCCTAAAAACAGCCCAGAATAATTACCAGTATAAATACTGCTCCTCACAGTTCCTTCATGTAAGCATAGTTGACATAGAATTATGCATGGTTGCCACAGTAAAGTGCACCTCAACACCGGCTAGACTCTAGACATCGGGTTGCCAACCGGGCGATTCAAAAAACTCTTCCTGACCCACTTCTGTATCTGTTGCCCCCACACGTCCCTCGCCAATCTTTGTCCTGGAGCTTCATGACCACGCTCCATCACAAACGGATGAATACTGCAAAATGTTCGCTAACTTCCATTCGTCTTGCACGGCCTGTCACTGTTTACGAAGGCAGGGCCGTGCGGCCACTGGTTTTTTTCCGGCAACGCCGGCCCTTGGATCACTCGACCTGAAAATCCCCCAGCCTGCCAAAAGAAAGAAGTGGTGCAACTGACGATGCCTCTGCTGGCCATGGCGCTCTCCACTTCGGTCGCCTCCCGCTCGCTCACCTGCGGCCTCGAGATCAAGTCCTGTCTTTGTCACAGCACTCGGGCACATGCGCATGTACCCACTTTCGAGCTTCAGCCAGGGCGCATTTGCTCGGTTGCTGTCGTGAGAAGCTCACTACCATCCTCAGTTTGGGCTGAGGTGAATCGTGTCGTAAGGATTGCGATGCTCAACTTCGCAAGACTTAAGGGAATCTCATGATTCGCGTGAGCGAGATTCAAGCTCAGCCATTCCTAAGCTTGATGCACTGTCGGAGAGATCCAGCGGAATCTTGGCACCCTGGGCTCGGCTTCGCCCCTTGCAAGCCATAATTCCCCTCCATTGGATCTGAAAATCTCGCGGCCCGAGAAGCTTTGAGAATAGGAGAGCAGGAGCTACTTTGACCTCAATTTGGTCTGGCCATCTGCTGTTGGTGCTTCGATCGTTCGCGGGTATGTGTTTAAATTCTTGGGACGGGGAGTACCGGCGTCTTAGATTTCCTTTGAACTCCTCGGTATGGGTAAGATATCAAGAGACCTGCTGGTTGATTGGCAGGTTACTTTCCACGCACTACTAAAAATTAAGTGCCAAAGCTACTCAACTATCCCAGTTGTTCAATTGTTTCCGGTTGCCATGGCAGAAGTCGTTGTCAGCTAGTGTCCCTGGCATTGCGCTTGTCACGGTTCTTGTTATTGCCGTTGATCTATCTATGTGCCCTTGTCCTTGTTGATCGTGCTCTTGCGCTTGCTGCTGTCATAGTTCTTGTTGTCCCTAGTCCATGTCTGCCATGCATGCCCGGCCTTCTTTGCAAGTCGTGTTTAGTACCGATGTGAATTGCTGCCGTGTCGCTCCCTAAGCCCTTCCTCTCTCCTCCCTCCCGTCAGCAGGCCCGGGGGATGTCAGCGGTGGAACATTTACGGTGGCCTCCTTCCTTCCTACCGACCTTGCCCCACACACACAACGGGAATGTGAAAGCAAACCTGCTTTTTTTGCTCATCTCTGGGCGCCAGGCCTGCGGACTCAGAGCCATGATCTAGGGCCGCTGGGGTTGAAGTCGCGCCCAGACCCGCCTGCTACGAGACTCACGGGAAAAAGGCACTCTGAGAGGGCAACCTGCCTGTGACACTCGCCGCGGCCGCCGGGGCTTCTGGTAGGCAGGAGTGGGCGGCCCTGCAGTGCCAGAGTCTTTGTTCACAGCCCTCCCTTCGAAACCGCAACCCACCGCCGAGCAAGCGAGAAAATGAGAGATCGCGTGCCCGGAGCAGTTTTTGGGCGCCGAACCTCGACCCCTCGCACTGAGCCCGGACTGGCTTCCCCCGCTGGCCTTCATCGGACTCCCAGTACTCCGAAGGAGGACCCGCACTCGAACCGGGGGTCCTCCAGAAAAGGAGCCGGGATGGACAGAAACAACACTCTAAGGGACCTGTTGGAACCTGACTTCGCAACAACATCAAGAAAGACGCAACGTGCCCTCGAAATCAGCTCACGTGTCTGTCTGCGCGCACGCCTTTTTTTCATCTCTGCTCGAATTTCAAGACTGCAATGTTGCGGTCCTTTTCGGCACGTTGGCCTTCGGCATTTCTTGATGTCGTGCCAGAACGGTAAGGTCTTCAATCCCATGGTCTTTGAAGCTACTGAACGCAGCAGAGATGAACGTGGCAGCTCTCTCCGATGCTGCGCAGCGAATCTGGCTGACATCCGAACTCGAACTACGGATCCTTTCTTCGAAGGACTTCTTCAGAGGGACAAACCTCCGGCACCCTACTAAGCTCTACTATCTTCAGTTCGCAACCAGAGTGACTAGAGAGCATTGACCTTGGGCCAGTAACGCTGTGCAACCGAATTGGTAAGGTTGCAAAGGTTGTGCCAAGCTCTCGCCTGGGCCCTTAATCCTAGGAACCGCTCTGCAAGATCACGTGCTGCACTTTTCTCAGGAGAAGCTTCATCCGGCTCACGTTTGCAAGAACCATGGACCTGGACTCGATTTTCTGCCTAGCATCTCGGCCAAGCATGTTAACTTCAGTTACTTCACCCATGTCTTTGGCTTTGGGCACAAACAGTTTAGCCTGGTCTGTCTCATGACATTTGTTGTCCACAGCTTCGCAGCTGTGGAGACGTAGAGAGGCATATTGTGTTCATGGAGGCAGGTCGAGGATTAGACGCTAGCTCCAGAAACTCAGCAAGGACACATATGTGCCATTTGGTCATGGCAGACGGACTTCGCGAGCGACGCATCCTTCCCGAACAACTGCGGCAGCTCGTTCCTGGCTGGGAGCTGGCTAGAGTCTGCTAGGTAATGGATGATATACAGTAACATGGCAGAGTGGACAGAATCTCGCTTCGCGCATGCTATTGGACCGGTCCCAAGCTGCCGCCATGGCCTGCGCAGGCCTGACCCGAGCTGCAGCCGAGCCACTTGATGAAATCTTGCTCCGCCAGCAACTCCTCCAAAAATGGCCGTTTTAAAAATGAAGTGCAATCCACATTCAGTTACTGTTCGCGGCGGCACTGTCCCCATGGATAAAAGAATGTCATTGAGAGCTGAAGCATACCAAACCGTCCCAAACTTACAAAGGTTTCCGCTGTCATAGACAACTCTTCCGCAACTGAGTCCTCATCACGGAAGGTGTGGAAGACATCAGGCTCTGACAAGACCGGAAACCTCGAAACGACATGTGTCCCTCTGTCGATGTTTAAATTCTGCGTTTCTATGTCTGCCAGTATGTAGATGAAGGCGTACCATCTTTTTCTCTCGCTCGCTCTTGCATCCCACAGGCATGTCAGAGCAGACACCCTTCAGGCTAAATCATGTGCCTTTACATCTTGATGCGTCTGAGCAGCTTTTGCGTTGTCTCGTGCGCGAAGATCCCTAGAAGCCTGAAGGAATAAGCGATGCCAGGCACGAGACCACGGAAACACGGTCAACGATACGCTATCTTTGATGCTTCCTTTGTTGCGTGTCCATGCAATGTTCTGCGCTAGCTGATCCCGATGCCTTGTCTGTGACAGGGCGCACTGTTTGTAAGTTTCATAAGTTCCATAAGTTCTTGCTACAGGCAGACATTTGCACATGTGACTCACATGTTTCACCAGAACATCTTTGCGACGCGACACAGGAAACAACACGACTCCGGACAGCAAAAGTTGTGCCCACCAGTTGCGAAGTTGCAAAATAATGGTTTCTGTATGCTTGCACAAGGCAAAAACACACGCGAAGCTCAAAGTCCCACGTGGTCGTACAAAGATAGAATTAGCGACGGCACATACAGACATAAAGACCGGCGCTGCTTGGTTGCTCCTTTTTCAGCATCGGTAAAGCTGTGCTGACCTATATCATGGCCTTAGAGCCTAGCAACTTCACATCTGAGCATATCCCTAATATCCCTAAACCCTAAATAACCACAGCAGCCAGTCGACAAGTCATTTCCAGCCCTCAAGGACAAGGCCTCCGTACGACGTCGAGCTTCTTGTTGATGGTATTGCCGCCTGAGCAGAAGCCCTATCACTTCGTCGTTATCAGTGGTCGCCCTACGCCCTAAACTGGCCCTAAAAGTGGATAAAGTGGCAGTTCACAGGTGGGCCATGCCAAAATGCCCAAACCACTAGGCTACTCTCGGAGCTTCAAGGGCCTGAACGAACTACATGAAGTTGACGACCCAGACTCAGGAATCGATGACGACTGGCACCGAAAGCAAAACTTTTTCCAGTCAACACCATACATGACGCCACGCCGCCTTTGTTGAAGAGCGTGCTGCGTTGGGTCAGCAATCGTACTGGCTCGCATTTCCTAAGTAAGGCTGAGTTGGACGGCGATCACCGGAAGACTAAGCTGGAACGCATCCCACCAAAGGCAGAGCCACTCGGCACCGTCGGCGCCGCCCTCCGCCATGGAGGTCTCGATGGCAGAGAGTGTGGCGACCATGTGATGGGTCTCCTGCACAACGCATCTGCTTGTGTGTAGGCGCAAAAAGGTGAAAGGCGGAGTCCTCCACAACTCGATCAAAAAGGTTCGACTGCCAAGGCATCTTCCAAAGGCGCGGCTCGAAGTCGGCCTCGTGTCCCATGCTTTGAGCCTGCCGAGATCATCCCCAGCGGCTGCTACGTAGGGTCGTCTCGCGCCGCCAGGAAGGCGCAACAACGGTCGCAGAAGCGAGCAGGGTCAAACCAAGACGAGCACAAGCTGCCTTCGTGAGCAGGTCCCTTGCTTGATCGGCGCGGAAAGTGACTTTCTTGACGTTGGGGTCATAGAGCTCCTGCCCAACCACACTGACGGATCGGGCTTGAGGCTCTGGGCGCTCTGGACTGACCCACTCCTGCAGGGCGCTGCGGATCACGCCCCAGCAATCATCGAGAGCCTCGTGTTGGACAAGCAGTCGGACGTCCCTTCCAAGCCCAAACCCAGAAGCCACAAGTGTCGAGCTCGTGCAGGGTAGCGCCTGATAGGCCTGCTTGGAAGCAGAGTCGGCCGGAATCACTAAGTTGACCAGCGTGGTGAGGAGAACCGCAACACCTTCGTGAAGCTCTGAGAGCTCGAGGGCTCAAAGGCTCATCTTCCTACATCTCCCCCCACCTCTGCAACTCATCGACACCCCCATACACAGGAGGAAACTGGGGGGGGTGAGCCTGCAGCGGGGGATCTATCTGAGCTTGACCCTCAATGCAGGTGCTACCCACGCACAAGATCAATATGAGGAGATCAGGGGAAATGGGAAAGAGATGATGCTCGTGCCTGCACTTTGGGGGAAACTGATGCTAGCTCTGAAACCCGAAGCTATAAACCCGAAACCAGCGGCAGTTACGGAGCGAAACCGAACCCTGGCTCGAACAAGCTACGCAGCTACCCGAAAAAGCAATCTAGTCAGAAGACAGTCTGCAAAATACGGCCAGAGAATATTCAGAACCCCAGCGGCAGCTTCAAAAATTCTACAACAGCCTTAAGAATGGATTCATGAGGGCAAGCAAGTATCTGCTAGAGCTGCTCGCAACAAAGAGTCGCTTATCTCACGGCGCATTCCGCACACAAAGAAAGCTGAAAATAGACGGCTGCATGACCCTTGCACAACTTTGGAAATTACAGTGCCACAGCAGGATGCTTGGTGTGCTTGGTATGCACAAGAGAACACTCAGGGCGGCGAGCGTGACATTGAACCTGATGTTCGCAATGAGAGAGAGTCGGATGAAGACCGTGTGTGTTGATGTGCAAGCTCGTGCGAGCGGTGAGTACCAACCAACTCAACGCAAGTATCGCGTCCAAGCCCGGCGGGCCAATACTTGCCGCCGCTACTGAAGAAGGGAGAGTCGAGACCAAAGCAGGAACGAGAGATTCCCTGCTAAAAATTTCGAAGATTCTGTTTCTTAGTCCAGACATGCCACAGTTCATCGCAAGAGTGTCGAACGTTGCTTCCTTGTCCACGATTGGATTGCTGCAGTTCGTGGCCAGGAGCCTCAACACAATTCAGAGAAGAGCTCCCTCCGATATGCCAGGCAGCAAAGATTTGAAGCAAGTTTTGCGCCCTCCCCAACTCCCGGCATGCATCGGCAGGCCCATCCTGCCTCCAACTGCTTTCCGTTTTCCGTTGTGCAGGTCCAAGCTCGTGTGTCGGACAAAGGCAACTATCTGGCTTTCCTTTACTGTTCTGACCCCATTACAGAGTTCCCGAACCGAGAAGGCAGTTAAACATGCTCAGCATATGTATGTATGCATGCATGGTAGGTGGGCAGGCAGGCAGGCAGGCAGGCAGGCAGGCAGGCAGGCAGGCAGGCGGACAGCCAGGCATTCAGTCAGGCAGGCAGGCAGGTAGGCAGGTAGGCAGGTAGGTGTGTACAGTATATAGGTTGATGTGTGTATGTGTCTGTATCTGTTATCTACATCCGTATCTGTATCTGCATCTGCATCTGTACGTGGATGTGCATATGTATCTGTCTGTATATGTATATCTAACTAAATGTAGATGTATACGTATATGTACGTGCGTGTGTCTGTGAATGCGTGTGTGTGTGTGCGCGTGTGCATGTG